AGTAGAACTATTAATTATTACCTTTATATTTATTATTATTATTAGTAGTGTTAGTAGCAGTAGTACTATTATTATCATTTTTTTTTTTTATTATTATTAGTAGTGGTAGTAGCAGTAGTACTATTATTATCATAATTTTTTTTTATTATTAGTAGTAGTAGCAGTAGTACTATAATTATCATTATTTTTATTATTAGTAGTAGTAGCAGTAGTACTATTATCATCATTATTTTTATTATTAGTAATAGTAGTAGCAGTAATACTATTAATTATCATTATTTTTATTATTATTAGTAGTAGTAGTAGTAGCAGTAGTACTATAATTATCATTATTTTTATTATTATTAGTAGTAGTAGCAATAGTACTATAATTATTATTATTATTATTATTATTATTAGTAGTATTAGTAGCAATAGTACTATAATTATTATTATTATTATTAGTAGTAGTAGTAGCAGTAGTACTATTAATTACTATCATTATATTTATTATTATTAGTAGCAGTACTATTAATTATTATCGTTATTATATAAAAGACTAGCAAACTGTAGGTGAAACATTGCTTTGGGGCTCATTCACACCAGATCCATTGGGGCTATACTAGCCGCTATTCCCAGCACATAGACAAGAAAAAATGCCTTGTTTTCAATGTAGAAGTGGGTTGAGATATGAGCCACCATATTACTGGTGTGGTAAATAGAACTATATTGAAATGTCACTCGTAACAATTCAATAAAGTTTAGTAAACAGTAAAATTAAACAGTGCAATGAGACAGGATGGTGCCCTGGCACTGTGGTTCACAGTGCACACCAGTGTGTATTCAGCGTGGCTTGCTGCTGTCAACCAGCACTTAAAGGATAGGTTCACTTTAAAAAAATAATAATGCCCATTTTTTTCCAGATAAAAAAATGTGCATTTACTATATATATATATATATATATATATATATATATATATATATATATATATATATATATGTAATATCCTTTTTTTTAATTTTTGGTCTTTTTTTGTTTATATTGCAAAAAATAAACCCAGTGGTAATCAAATACCACCAAAAGAAAGCTCTGCCGAATAATCAAGTCCATAGTGAAAAATGTAAAAATGAATTGTTCTGGTTGCATAAAGGGTGAACATGTGTGAGAGAGGAATTGGTTCAATAATGTGTAACGGTCAAACTTACATGGGGCTTGAAGAATTGTAATTTTTAAGTACAAGTCTGCTTTGATACCAAACACCATTCAAGGTATATTAGGCCGGTATTACCATTACATCAATTGTACATTCAAGGTATATTAGGCCGGTATTACCATTACACCAATTGTACAGGAGATGTGTTGCTTGAACTATTATGTGGGCATTTTTTAGCTATATATTGACTGCATGGTGTCACAGATTAATGAATGAAAAGGAGCCACAGAGCTCAGACTCTGTTGTGCAATAGATCAGTGTGACTTTTGTTGGGTGGAAATTTCCACAAGAATTTGGGAAAACCCCAGACTAGGAAATTCAGGAGGTGGGAGTATAATGTCACAGAGCTACTCCAACCCGGGGACAACAAGAGCAACTGTACGGGAAGTCAGACTGTGACAGATGGGGAACTGATTACAATCACATCCGAAATGTAGAAAGAAAAAGGAAATACTCCATGTGTGAAGACAGCACACGGCTCATGTAAAAGTGAAACTCGTAGAAAGTCATGTATGTAAATACACAGTTGCTTGTAATACATACAAACACAGGTTCTCTCTATATAACTGTTTTAGCTGACAAAACATTTAAGGACTGTATGTGATACTTTTATGTTATTTATTAATATTATTAGACAGGATTTATATAGCACCAACAGTTTCTATGGCACTTCAATTTTGTTGTACTCTCTGTCTTTATCTTTTAAATACAAGAGAGTTAAGCTGGCCACAAACAAAGCAAATCAAGCTGAAATTCAATCAGTGGGTCACCCCAACCTCCCCCATGGAGAGAGCCTGACACAGACCAACCCCCCCCCCCCCCCCCACACAGCCTGTCACCGACCAACACCACCCCCCCCTCCACTGTGGAGAATGCCTGACACTGACCAACCCCCCACCCCACAACCACCACCTTAGAGCCTGACACCGACCAACATCCCCACAACAGTGGAGAGCGCATATAACTCCAACCTGAAAAAACCCCTTCCCCAAGGGGAGAACTTGACACCCACCAATACCACCTCCCCCCCTGGCCAAGAGAGTCTTCCACTACCACCACCTCCCCCATACACCCGTCACCACTTTCCCCCACCCCGCCAAGAGCGAGCAAGAAACTCACAGATAATCACCTTCACCGCTCCGGACATACCTGTGAATGAGAGTGGGGTTCCATATACACCGTCAAGCAGCCTGCAGCCTCTATTGGATCCCACTTGGTCCCCATGCGGCTTTTGTGTTCCTTCTTTTGGGGGGCAGTGCTGCCCCCATGAAAAATGCCGCCCTAGGCAAATGTCTTGTTTGTCTTGTGGTAAATATGCCCTTGATTGCAATGTATCATGTACCTTAGATAGTGAGCCTGACGTGAAAAGGAAAGCCTCCCGCACAGCTCTGGTTCGAGGGCTACTGGTAGTGGGACAGTAGCCACAGGAGCACAGTGAGGTATGAGTGCCTGTGATCAGTCCAGTAGTAGGTACTGTAATACTGCATCAGTAACAGACTCACAATAGCTTCTGGATTTTTGTTTCAGTTCCAACCTGAAAAAACGAATGAAGGATCTAATGAAGGAACGAGATGTGATGCAGAAAGCAAGTAACCCCTATGTTCTCCGTCTTCTTGGAGTATATGAGAAAATTGAAGGCAGTCTTGTAGAGCATGGACTTGTCATGGAGTATATGCCCTATGGTTCTCTACGCACTCTCTTTGACGATATCCCAGATGTCCCATGGGCTTTGAAGTTCCAGATTCTTCATCAAGTGGTCCTTGGAATGAACTACCTTCACAGTCTGGATCCCCCAATAATCCATCGTGATCTAAAACCCTGTAATGTCCTTTTAAATAAGCATTTAGATGTTCAGGTAAGTGATCTATGACAGCTGAATGATACAGCAAGAGTAATGGGGAGGTGTCACTTTGGCCATAAGGACTAATAACGTACATATTTTCTCCCCATGATGAGTTCCTGTACACTCTCAGTGGATGTGCTAGATTCTAGTGGGCACTGTGGAGTCTGAGCATATTGGTCATAACTAGTCCATGCAATGTATATAGCAGCATCAGAGATATCTTTTAATGCTCCTGAGGGTGGGGTGGGCTAATGTGGATTATGTGCAGATTTAAAGCAAATCTTTATATTAATATTATAATGAGCGGACCAACAGAGTCAATGGATAGACTTCCCCCTACACTGCTTTGTTCCACCACCCCATTGGTCCACATTTTGCACTAAATATATTACACTGTATGGTCAAAAACATTGAGATACCTGCCTCTCAAACATCTCATTCTGAAACCAAGATTGTGAACATCAGGTTGATCCTCCCTTTGCTGTCATGGTAGCCTTTTCTCTTGCTAGATACTGGAACACATCTAGCAGGATTTGCTTCCAACAGTTAGATTGACAGCAATGTAGAAGGATAAAATCTGGCTCGCAGTTGATATTTTAGTTCATTCCACAGATCATCGGTTAGGTTGAGCTCTGTGGTTGTGAAGAACAATCAGGTTTTTTTACTCCCAGGGTAGCTCTTTCAGGGCAGAAATGTGTTTAAATGATTGGCTCATTGGATGGCACCTTTCCAACAAGTCATTGAGGTGTCAGCAATTCTACTACCAATGTTTGTTGTTGGTAACTGCGTGAGTATGTTTAAAATTATGCACTTGTGCCCAATGTATTCAGGATGTGTGCTTTTACACTTATCCTTCCTAAATACCTCCTTTTCCCCATACATATCCCCGGTCGTTCACTATAAGTAGTGTACCGGAACCGACCCAGTACTTCCGTTATACCACTTCCCCATCTGAACACCGACATCGGACACCACAGCCGACCATAAAAGACTAGACAACACCACTCTTGAAGAAGTAAACTAGGAGGTAGACTGGTTTATTTGAACACAGATACAAGATATATACACTCAGGGGACAATTTCCCCTCCTTGTATAATGACATAGGGCGGAGCAATGTACATTTAGTAACAAGAGACGCACAGGTATTCAAACTTCACACCAGCAGACAGTCCCATCAGGAGGAAGGGCTGCTGGAGACCCCCCCCCCCCACTAAGCTAATACACATAAACACATACATCCCATAATAGTTTGCTTCCAAACAATAGAAAAATGGGATGCAGCCACATAACATCAAACAATCAACAACCCCCCACCCCAATATTAGGACAGATCACCCTGTACCCCTAACAGGCACAGGGTGATTTACACATAAGAGGGATATGGGTTGCTGAGACAGGGGTCTGCCCAACTCTCCAAAGTAAGCTGGGTTCCATGGGCCCCCCACCCAAAGTGACTCCCATCACAAATAGGTCCATAACTTCCACTGTCTGCTGTGACCTACCCCAGCTCATGCAGCTCTAGTCCTCTTCATCAAACTAGCAGGCCATGGTGTACGTTTTATGGAAAATATGCGGCACATTCACAGTGTACTACAGTAAGTAGACCCAGAGCAGACGGAGGAAGTCACTGCCCTATGTGAAGTAATGAGAAGGTAGGTGACTAAGAGGGTACTCTAAATAAAAACTTTTACAATGTGGAAACATACTTTTAAAAAGAAACACTGAATTACGAGGTGTATCAGGAAACCATTTTTTATTGCTATTTTAAAATGAAAAAATTAAGGAAATTGTCCCATACCATACACCCCCCCCCCACCTCCACCACCACCATATTGGATAAAACCATCTTGAGTTTCTCTTGGATGCCAGTATTTGACAACTCATATAAAATGAATTATAATTCTTTAACAGATCACAGATTTTGGATTGTCAAGGATTGTTGGGGCTACTACTTCTGCCGTGCCATCGTTTGCAGGGACGTTGTCCTACATGCCGCCTGAAGCTCTAAATAACATCAACTATCAGCCTTCGAGATCGTGTGATGTTTACAGGTGAGATTTATGAATTTTTTTATCATATTATGGATCTACGTGTATAACGAGTAATAGTGTGTGTGTATGTGTATATATATATATATATATATATATATATATATATATATATAGTTACAAACTATACATGTTACAAAAAAATTCTCAAACCACTTGTGTCATATACAGTAAATTGTTTTATTTATATTTTGAATGCAGACAACAGGTATTATTATTATAGAAGATTTATATAGCGCCAACAGTTTGCTCAGTGCTTTGCAATATAACGGGAGACAATACAACAACAATACAGTTCAATACAAGAGGGATAGGAGGGCCCTGCTCCTTGGAGCTTACAATCTAGGAGGGAGGGGCTGGTGGTGCAAAAGGTAATAGTAAAAGGCAATACAAAGCTGTGCACAATGATAAGATACACAATCCAACCATAGACCATAGGTTAGTATTGCAGTGCATCACAGGTAGTGATGGGCTGAACACCCCCCTGTTTGGTTCAAGGTCGAACATTTGAACAAAAGTTCGACTGCAAACTTCGAACACAAACAATTTACTAAGCAGTATCTTACCGCATCTGAGTATGTGGTAAGATACTGCACTGTTACTAAAATACAGCACAAGTTATATTATTAAATCATGCAGTATTTTAGTAGGGAAGACATTCATTCATGTTTCAGCTGTCAGTGGGGTTCCCCACTGACAGCTGAATGTAAAAAGAATTGCCGGTATAGCCCAGTAATTAAAAAATAACACATAAAAATGGCATGGGGTTCCCCCCATCCATACCAAGCCCTTCAGGTCTGGTATGAATATTGAGGGATACCCCCCCACATACCAAAATTAAAAAAAAAAAATGGTGTGGGGGTCCCCCCCAAAATCTATACCAGACCCTTATCTGAGCATGCAGCCCAGAAGGTCAGGGAAGGGACGAGCGAGCGCACCCCCTCCTGAAACATACCAGGCCACATGCCCTCAACATTAGGGGGATGCCTTGGGGCAGGAGGGCTCTACCCCAAAAGCACCTTGTCCCCATGTTGATGGGGACAAGGGCTTCTTCCCTACAGCTGTGGCCGGTGGTTGTGGGGGTCTACTGGTGGGGGGGTTTATCAGAATCTGGAAGCCCCCTTTAACAAGTGGGCCCCCAGATCCTGCCCCCACCATATGAATGAGTATGGGAGACATGGTATCGCACCTGAAAATAGTGCTGAAATTGCTCACAAATCGCAGCAGTGTGACTTATTGTCAAAGCTTAATTGAAGAAGCTGAAGTTAGAAGCTGATTGGCTCCCATCTACAGCTGCACCAGATTCTGAGTGCACCAGTCTTAGTAGATCACCCTCACTGTATTTTTGAGTCAATGAGGATAGTAGGAGCACATGGTATTCCTGTTGCATCTACAGTTATTTTTGTGTACTTGCAACCAAGGCCGGAACAAGGTCATCCAGTCCCTAGTGTGAAGATAGCAAATTGTCCCTTCCCCCCTCTTCTTGGGTGGAGGAGGGAATGGGGCTAATAGCGGCGCTGGGGTCACTGGAAGGAAAAATGTCCCTACATCAGTGAGGTCACTGGAAGGAAAAAGCTTCTTAAAAATGGTAATGCCACTCGAAGTAAAGAGGTCCTTGCATCAGTGGTGTCACTGGAAGAACTGTCATTGCATCAGTGATATCACTGGAAGGAAAACTGTCGCTGCATCAGTGGTGTCCCTTGAAGGAAAAATGTCCTTGCACTAAGTGAGTATAATTACCACCTTAATCAGCCACACGTAGTTTGGAGGTCTTTAGCTATTGACTCTGCAGACAGTTGGTGACTTCTGTGCACTTCAGCATGCGCTGACCCTGTTCTGTCATTTTACGTGGCCTACCACTTGGTGGCTGAGTTGTTGTTGTTCCCAGTTGCTTCCACTTTGTTATAATCCCACTAACAGTTGAGCGTGGAATATTTAGAAACAAGGAAATGTCACAGATGGACTTATTGCACAGGTGGCAGCCTATCACGGTACCACGCTTGAGTTCACTGAGCTCCTGAGAGTGACCCATTCTTTCACAAATGTTTGTAGAAGCAGTCTGCATGCCTAGGGGCTTGATTTTATACAGCTGTGGCCATGGAGGTGATTGGAACACCTGAATCCAATTATTTGGAGGGCTGGCCCAATACTTTTGGCAATATAGTGTATCTATTAACTTGGCGTAACATCATCTTTTATATTTTACCAAAAAATTAGGTTATATATTGTGTCTTTTTGCATTACAATTCACTAAAGTGAATTTTTTTTACCATGTGACAAAAAGAATTTGAAACATTATATTCGCTAGGGCCTTTGATATATATATATATATATATATAGTTATTTATTATAATATGTTTGGGGGTTCTAAAGAATTTTCTAGGCCTGGTCTTCAAGTTGTTAATTTACAGCTGACGGAAGCTGAATTGACCCTACCACATTGCATTGCATTTCCTCTTCTTCATAACTGAGTATTTGTTTAAAGAAAAAGGAACTTGCTATGATACAAGTGTTCCAGGAATAAAAACCATAACTGGAAATGTATGTTTTATGTTGACATTTGTACAGTTGTATGGTGTTTTAACCATATTTTAGACACTGACTCTCGGCTATGTTTTGTTGTGTTGTAGTTTCGGAATCTTAGCGTGGACAGTTTTTTCAGGGGAAGAGCCTTACCCAGGTACGTTTTTGTAAACCCCGTTCTTTTGTTATGTTTCTAATATAGCTAGTAGCAATTAGTCACATTCAACTGGACGTATTCTGTAAAACAGAATGTTTTGTTCTTCATCTAAGGTATTTTTTCAGTTCTACTGAGCTTCCAGAACATACCCCAAACTGGAACGTGTCAAGGCAGCTGTTGCTTCAGTTCTTTTGCTGAATGTTCTCACATTTTATGTTAACTGGATTATTAGCCCGTATTCACACATGAGGAGGAGTGGATTTACTTTTTTTGCATATTTTTCTGCATGGGTATGCACATTTTTTAAGTATACTGCATGTGTTTTCAAGCTTCAACCATTTTTGTTGTAGCCAATGGAAAGCAGTATCATCCTTGATATGTCTCATCATCTTCTTTGTATTGGCCAGACCAGTTTTTAGGCTAAGGCAGCTCATACATCATTTTCAACCAGCAGGTTGAACGAAAAAAAAAAAAAAGATTGGATTTCCCTATCCACGCATTCAAGGATGCTGCAAAAGCCAATTATAGCTTGGGGTGTTTGCCATTTTTTTGTATTGTTGGTGAGAGGACACACTGGATACCTTTGCTGCCATTGTGCTATTGCTGGTGTCCAGTGCATTCCTATACCTTTAAGGAGGGGTGGGCTCCCTCTAGGTATCTATCCATTATTATATTTCTGCTCCAACTTTGGAGAAATTTATAGAGTGAGGATTGCAGATATACTGGGGTGCCATGACGTGGAGGCTGCAGCGTAAACATGTACTTGCAAATGTGTGCAAACAAAACCCCTTTTTTCAATGGGAACTGTTAGACGGGTTAATGCTGTTTGTTGCAGGCTGGCTGGTAGGTGAGCTGGGGATCTTTGTTTGTTGCTTTTTGACATGCGCTGCCCTTCCATGTGCTCCTTGCTTTAAAGGCCAGTTATAGATTGGGGTGGTTGCCCCAATTTGTACTGTTGGTGGAGACTCTCAAAATGTATAGAGTTAGGACTGCAATACAATAGGGTGCCATGACGTGGCCTCTGCGGCTTACGCATGTATTTGCAAATGTGTGCAAACTAAACCCTTTGTTTTAATGTAAACTGTTAGGGTTAATTTGGTTTGTTGCAGGCTGGCTGGTAAGTAAGCTGTGGATTTTTGTTGCTTTTTGACATGCGCTGCCCTTCCATGTGCTCCTTGGGGTGGGTGCCCCAATTTGTACTGTTGATAGAGACTCTCAAAATTTATAGAGTTAGGACTGCAGTACAATAGGGTGCCATGACGTGGCCTCTGCAGCTTGCGCATGTATTTGCAAATGTGTGCAAACTAAACCCCTTGTTTTAACATAAAATGTTAGCGTTAATTCAGCTTGTTGCAGGCTAGCTGGTAAGTGAGGTGGGATTTTTTGATTGGCTTTTGCAGCAAAGAGCACATGGATAGACGATATGTGTCAAAAAACAAGTTATAGGTTGGAGTGGTTGCCATTTGTTTATTCCGATGGGGAAATCACTCCTGCTGAGCTATTGTGTTTTCACAGCAAGGAGTCTTCCCTGTCATTAGAACACAATGATCAGTATTGCCAGCTATAGCAGGTGGCAAAGATGATTTGGGAAAGACCCAACAAGTTGTTGGTTGTACAGAAGTCAGTTGATAGAACCCCACTGACCCGGGCAAATCTTCATCCATGTATGGCCAGCTTAAAGTGGAACTTCACCCTAAAACTTAAGTTCTGCTGTATGACCTCCTTTTCTGTTTTTGGCACTTTTCTGGGGTAAGGGGAAGCAGGTGCTTGGTTTTGACAGGTACCCGCCCCACATCTAGTTGGATCACCGCAGCACCTCTCCCCCGCCTGCAACCTTCTGGGACATGTCACAGGTCCCAGAAAGGCTGCAGGTCCATTCACAAAGGGCAGCACACATTAGCGCATGTGCAGTGGGCAACCAGCTGTGAAGCCACAAGCAGTCACAGCCAGTTGTCCACAGTAAATATGCCAGCGCCATGGACCCGATGACCGGCGAAGAACTGGCTCGGGTGAGGACAGCACTGGACCCTTGGACAGGTAAGTGTCCTTTTATAAAAAGTCAGCAGCTACAGTATTTGTAGCTGCTGACTATTAATTTTTTTCAAACAGGGCAAAGAACCACTTCAGCTTTTTCAGTTGTTTTTGGATTTTTTTTTTTTTAATGTTTGTACTGCAGTTTCAAGTGTTTTAAAGCTCAAGCATTTTCTTTGTAGCACTACTCCAATAGGAGCTGCTGGAATACTGTCCAGGTCCTCCCCAAACTCTTTGCCCCACAGCCAGGCACATACTGTAGGCCCACTCACACGTTTTTCAAATGACCAGTCTAGGGGTGTTATTTTTATTTTGGGAGAACTTGGATAGGGTTGAGGGAGATGAGTGGGGTATTCCAGAAACAGGAACTATGTACACTTGAGGACTTTCTCTAATCTGCAGAGCAAGCTATGTTGAAGTCTGTGTGCTTCAGCATGCGCTGACCCCGCTCTGTCATTTTACGTGGCCTACCGCTTGGTGGCTGAGTTGCTGTTGTTCCCAGTTGCTTCTACTTTGTTATAATCCCACTAACAGTTGACCGTGGAATATTTAGTAGCCAGGAAATGTCACGGATGGACTTATCGCACAGGTGGCAACCTATCACGGTACCACGCTTGGATTCACTGAGCTCCTGAAAACGACCCATTCTTTCACAAATGTTTGTAGAAGTAGTCTGCATGCTTGATTTTATATGCCTGTGTTTTGGAGGTGTGTCCTAATACTTTTGCCATATAGTGTATACTGTGTGTATGTAAATGTATATATATACATATAATGCAGAGTTGACATAATTCCAGAGAACATAACACAAGAGTCCACTTATCTTCACCACAAACATATAAACAGAAACATAGTTCATATACAGGATTTTAGCCCAAGGTTAGCGCAGTCCAACTCTAGTTGTTTGGCAACTTCCAGCACATGTGCAGCACTCAGACCGGTCTCTCCCCCCCCCCCTCCTCTCCCTTTCTCTCTCTTTTCCCCCCTCCCCCTCTCTCTCCCCCTCTTTCTCTCCCCCTTCTCTCTCTCTCTCTCCCTCCCCCTTCTCTCTCCCCCTCTTCCCCCCTCCCCCCCCTCCCCCTCTCCCCCTCTCCCCCTTCCCCCCTCCACCTTCCTCTCCCCTCTCTCTCCCCCTTCCCCCCTCCACCTTCCTCTCCCCCTCCCTCTCGCCCTCCACCCCCCTCTCCCTTTCTCTCTATTTTCCCCCCCCCCCCTCTCTCTCCCCCCTCTTTTCTCTCCCCCTTCTCTCTCTCTCTCTCCCCCTCCCCCTTCTCTCTCCCCCTCTTCCACCCTCCCCCTCTCCCCTCTCTCTCCCCCTTCCCCCCCTCCACCTTCCTCTCCCCCTCGCCCTCCACCCCCCTCTCCCCCTCCCGACCTCCACCCCCCTCTCCCCCTCCCCCTCTCTCCCCCGTCCTCCTCTCTCCCCTTCCCCCTCTCTCCCCCCCCCTCTCTCCCCACCTCCACCCCCCTCTCCCCTTCCCCCTCTCCCGACCTCCACCCCCCTCTCCCCCCCCCTCTCCCCATCCCCCCTCTCTCTCCTGACCTCCACCCTCATCTCTCCCCCCCCCCTCTATCTTCTCAAGATCTCAAGAATTCAGGGTCCCAAATAGGCTACTACCAAAGCTGAGAGGACTGCGACTCAGTCCTCTCCTTTATACAACTGTCCCAGATCCTTCACCTTATATGGGTAAGACACCTGAGTACATTCATCTATCCCCCTTAAAGAGACCACAACCTGAATATCAGTGCCAAATAATAGCACCCATCCACCAAGACCCACCCTTGGCATCCTGTACAATATATATATATATATATATATATATATATATATATATATATATATAGGCATGCCAGGTTTTTAAGGCTGTACTGAGGAAAGTGGCAAACCTGGAATCAAACCTGGCATGCAGTCACATACATGTTACAAGTGTTACGTTTATATGGGAGAGCTACATCCTCTTTATATGAATACAAAAACTCTTCGGAATAATCAAATTCATAATAAACACAAGGGTGTGTTCAATATCCTATATCTTCTGTTTCTTAGGTATTCTTCCAGCAGTAATCCTGCGCTGTGTAACTGATGGCCAGAGCCCGCGGTGAGTGTCCTAGACAAGTGCAGTGATGTTAGAATGGTGCCAGAAGCCAAAGGGTTAATGGTCAGATGCTGGGATCACAATGCAGATAACAGACCCAGCTTCCATGGTAAGTGTGATGACAACCTAATGTCTAGAAGTGCATGTAATTAATAAATGTCAGCCATATTTCTAAAGGGTTATAAAATCACAAGATACAATAAAATTGCATGATGTCTTTTAGGTCACAATGAGGGACAGTAAACACTAGAACACTTGGCAGGAAAGCTGCAATCTATGCTTGTTTCCTGCGCCACATTCAAAGCACATTGCCCTTGCGATCTGCAGTGGGTGTCCATGCAATGTTATCAACACCCCAAATGCTGGTCACAGACGCAGTGGGCTGTCATCGCATTGAACAGAGCTGCGTGTGAATCGCATAGGAACACACACTACATTCCTGTACGATTCCTTGAGTGTAATTCTAGGAGTAATTAGAGAGTATGTAATAGCCCTGACAGATGTAAAAAATACCTACAACATAAGGGTAATAACATTAGAAGGTGGCTAGAAATGACAAAATTTGACCTGCAGTTGTCTGTGCTGGTGAACTCATCTTTACACATAAATGATGTATAAATACATCAGTGGTTCATATAGTGAACTCGGAGTAGAGCTATTCACCCTGAGGACATCACAAAGGACCAGGGGGCACCCTTTACATCTGGAGGAAAATTTTATCTCCAAACATGGAAAGCTTTCTTCACAGTGAGAGTTGTGAAAATGTGGAATAGACTCCCTCAAGAGTTGGTTCTGGCCAGCTCAGTGGATTGCTTTAAAAAAGACCTGGATTATTTCTTGGATACACAGAAAATAACTGGATACTAACATTTATTTGATGCAGGGAATATCCGATTGCCTCTCGGGGGATCAGGAAGGAATTTGTTTCCCTGCAGGAGCAAATTGGATCATGCTTTGCTGGGTTTTTTGCCTTCCTCTGGATCAACTGTGGGTATAGGATAATCATTTTTTTTCCTTTTTTTTTTAATGGTTGAACTGGATGGATTTTTGTCTTTTTTTTCAGCCATATTAACTATGTAACTATATAACCATATTACCAGTACTGGGACAAGTTCATCTAGCACCCGGACAAAGATGTGTAATTGCACTCCCATCCCCACTGTTAATGCATGCCATGGAATGGATTTACTGCCCTGTGTCCATTCTCTGCCCCCTTGCTCCCGTTGTGCCCAGAACAGCTCCCCCTCCTGCCCAACCCTTGTCCCAGCTTTGCAAATCAGAAGGAGGGAAAGATGTACATTAATAGTGATCAGATAAGACTTTTTTAGCTTTTCTGACTTTCACCCCCCACCCCCAATAAGTGCTGACTGGCAGTATTTGCTGGCGCCCCCCAATAAGTGCTGACCCGCAGTATTTGCTGGTGCCCCCCAATAAGTGCTGACCGGCAATATTTGCTGGTGCCCCCCAATAAGTGCTGACCGGCAATATTTGCTGGTGCCCCATGAACATTTAGATAATTTGCTGATCCAACCAAAGTGCCTTGATTGGAAGAATGTCATTTGATGACTATAGTAAGAATAGAGATGTAGATGAAAGTCACTTAAAGCTGACATTACTATTGTTAAAATGATTTAATGTGATTAAGATGGTCTATGTTTATGGTTTAAGAGCCTGTCATGGGTGTGTTATAAATGATTCAAATAAAACATGTGTTGAAGAATCATCCATCTGATTTAAAAAGCATATCTCCATTATTTGCTGACCCATTTACCCCTTTATGGAGAATGTTTGCAAAATTTGCATTTGCTATTGTTTTCATATTAAACATTGGTTTCTACAACCTTTGTCATATGTATTAATGTAAAACCGACCAAATACAATATGTTAAGTGCCTATTCTGCTATACTGAACACTTCGGTATGTGTGCTGTGCAGATTTTACTTAAAGCTGTGTGTATGGTAGAGAGACTTCTGTGCTGGGTATAATGTATATTAATCCTTTTTTTGCTTAAAAAACTGTATTGAGAGAAATATAGGAGTTACCATTGCTAACTGGGTTAACAGCATTACATTAGGGCATACTGTATATAAATGGGTGTTGGATGCAAAATTGGACTCATCATCCATGTTACGTATGCATGCTCACTTGTAGGAAAAAGTGCCCCATCCTTGGTGGTCAGTGGGAAGAAGGATGCTCAATTGTTGACATCTGTGGGAGGAACCATGCCCCAGGTTTGGTGTCAGTAGGAGAAAGGAATTCACAGCATTGGTAGTCTTTGGCATGAAAAATGCCCCATCATTGGTGTTAGGGGGAGGAAGAATGATCCAACATTGGTTTCTGTGGGAGGAAGAATGCCTCATCCATGATGATCAAGTTGGAGGTAGAATGCCCCAGCCTTGATGTTCAGTAGGAGGAAAAATGCCCCAGCGTTTGTGTCAGTGGCAGGAAGAATGCCCCATCATTGGTGCCAGTGGTAGGAGCATGCCCCAGTGTTAATGTCAACTGAACAATCTCGAGGCATGGCTTTAGCCCATGGGATCCTGGGATTTTGTTCATCCCAGATCCCTCAGGGCTATCCTGGGATGTTATTAGATAGGTTCACAGACAGCCATAAATATATTTTGTTTGCAGGGTGGAGAAGTATAGGGACTTTCCAGCATTCTATTGCTATGTAGAAAAATGGTCAGCATACCAGTAATCCCATAAAGTGGGTTTTACTAAAGTAACATGACTAGGAAAGCAACCACTAAGATTCCAAGGACACATGGGCTGGGATTTACTAAAACTGGAGAGTGCAAAATCTGGTGCAGCTCTGCATAAAAACCAATCAGCTTCCAGGTTTTATTGTAAAAGCTTAATTGAACAAGCTGAAGTTAGCAGCTGATTGGCTACCATGCACAGCTGTACCAGATTCTGAGTGCATCAGTTTTAGTAAATCTCCCCCATAGTTTATGTCTGTCACCTTTAGGCTAGGTTCACCCCTATGCAGTTTGTGTTTGATCTGTTTCTGCAGTGCGTTTTGTGTTGCATTTTTGCACTTGTGTTTTGGGTTTATTTCTTGTTGCTAGGCAGATTTAAAATTTAAAACGCATACAAAAATGCATAAAAAAAACGCACAACATGCTTTTCTGCAGCGTTTCCATTGAAGTCTATAGAACCAAAAACTCAACTTTTTGCGTTTAAAAAAGTCCCCGACCAGGGGTGGACTGAAAACTCTTGGGGCCCCCGGGCAATAGGGGATCATGGGGCCCCTGTGTCCTTGCCCAAACTCAAAAAAGCCTATGAAAAAGGTACCAGGGGCATCTCATGGGGCCCCCTACTGACCCCGGGCTTTGGGCAGTGCCAGAGTTTCCAAATGGTCAGTCCGCCCCTGTCCCCGACCCTTTCCAAAAAATGCACCGGGTGAAAACATAAAGATGTGAACCTGTCCCGTAGGAAATCATGTTAAATGGACTGTAGTGGGAGAAGATGGCAGCTTGATTCCCCGAGCTCCGACACACGGAGGTAGGAGCACGTGCCCAAAGCAGGGAGAGACACTGCTGACATGGGGAAAGCGGATAGGAGACCCGCTGCCCCGCGATCGCGGTCTCCCTGCCAGACGAGCGGACCTGCCAGCCGCAGCATTCCAGATTTATTGTGGTCCCAGACCCCAGAGCACACTGAGGCCTCCTCCCATGCTGCCTCCTCCCACTCACTTCACAGAGCATCCCGCTCGCGGAGCAGGAGCCCAGCCGTAGCACCCACAGCCTGCCATTCTGCAGCCGCCCCTCTCACTATAGGGGATTTGAAAGCAGTTGCCTTGGATATTAAAGAGACCCTCTCTGCAGCAATTGCAGAGTTACATATCGACATGCAGGCAGTGGCCCAAAGGCTAGAAGCAGTGGAGGATAAAGTTATCACACAAGAACTTTCCATCCATGATATACTCAAACTGGTAGATACGCACACTAGGCACCTAAGAGAGCTTGATCGTCATATCGAGGACCTGGACATCAGGGGAAGACGACATAACTTAAGGGTACGTGGTGTACCTGAAGCAATTGAAACGGGCCAACTAACCCAAACGCTCTTAACTATTTTTAATGATCTTTTGGAAAGACCACAGGAGTCTCCTATTGAGATCGCATGCCTCCATAGGGCTCTACGTCTTAGAGGTAGGGACACTGATCCCCCGAGAGATATAATTTGCTGCTTATTCGACTTCTGACTCAAGGAAGACATATTACGCAAAGCGTGAGATCGAAACCGCGTGATATGTAATGGAGCAGAAATCAAATTATTTCAAGATCTCTCCCATGTCACCTTACAACGCAGAAAGGAACTACGCCCTCCAGGGGTATAGCATATCGCTGAAGATTCCAGTTTGGCCTTTCAGCAGATCACATGGGGCGATCAGCTATCCTGAGATTCCTGGAAGATATCGCATCATTTTGCAAGATACTAGATATCCCAATCGTGGGCCTGCCCAACTGGTCCGGAGAATCCCACCTCCCATCTCAAACGGATGAAGACCCAATAGAGGCCCAATTCGCTGTGCACCCTGGAGGAGCAAGGTGATGTAGATCCTTCCACCGCACCTCATCTTCTCCTTTACGACGGAGACTCATCATTAGGGACAGTCTATCAGCTTCACCAGCTCATCGCTATGCACGTCACAAATGACACTTCTCCTTTTCCCCCTCCCCACCCGTGCATCACCCTTCCCCCATGTTATGGCTACTTCCATACCTGACCTAATATATCGTGTGATTCTCTCCTAAACCCTGGTTCCCATTCACCTTCAAATAAAAACCTTCTCTGCCCTTGGCTAAGATGCTAGGGTATGTATATCGAATTGGATTGTTCTAAATCTCATGCATATTACCTGTTCATTCTATGTTTATGCCAAGTTAGACTGTATATACTCAGATGATATTAGCTCATGCTCTATGCGGGCTGCATAGTCACGGTAGTAATAGAACCACAGATCATAATCTTGCCTGTTCTGGGGTTTGTATGTCCATGTGGTTGTGGTAATGGATTAATGCACTGTGCTGTTAGCCTCGGTTGAGGCCGGAGTTTCTCCTTTTTCAGGACCCAGAAATGCAGACTACTCAGTTACCTCGACGT